ATCAGCGTCTCACGCAGAGATTTTATCCCTGAACTGGTAAAACCTCATGCGCTCCGCAGGTTACCAACCCCTCCACCGCAGAAGAGCCAGCTTTGGCGAGGTAAAGAGAACAGTGCCAGGTGCGTTAGTGCTGCACAAAAAAACCCTTATATGTTGTTTGTCATAAAAGTGAAAAAGTGGTGTGCAGGAAATGTGTGTGGGGGATCAATCAATTTCTGTAAATAAAATTACGATTTCAAACATTGAAACTGAGTAGTAAAACAGTCTTATTGATTTCACGGATTTATTTTTTTATACAAATTTAAAAATATATATATTAGACCTGCTTCAAGGTCTACATATTTACAATGGGCTTATATGGCGTCTAGAACCATTTCAGTCAATGAAGTCATCACTACTCTTGCATTCCAATGGGAAAATTGCCACCCATCAAATTGACTGCCAGTGGGAGTTCTAGTGGGATCAGAATTCTGGGAGTCCTAGTGTTTATGTAAACAGTTGATGCACATTTATTGAGGTTTCCTTAGAGCTTGCTTGTTGAGCCTTGCTTGGCCTTTGTGAAATAGATAATGCCGATATGCTAAGTTTATTTGTTTTCAAGCCTGACATAATCTCTTATGCTGGATTTCTTGATTCTACTTTTGTGAAACAGTCACCAGGTTCACATGAGCCATGTATGTATTTCCTGTTTATCAATAAACACAAAGCATCAACAGTGTCTTGTCTGTACTGTGTTCCTTAATCAAGCAATATCAGAAGCTAATGAAAGAAAATTCAACAAAGTTTTTTGTTAAAATTTTAATTAGAAAATGAGAAAAAGCTATTCAATTCATATAGCGCCAGTTCACAACACATGAATCTATAGCTATTTACAATATCAAAAATACATATACTATATACAATATACAGTATATAGCTACATACTGTATACGCAGTAGACTGTGTGTTAATGTAACACAGGAGGTCTGGAGATTCTATGTTGGTGTAGCTTGTAGGTCCTCAATGGGGGAGGGAGAGAGGGGAAACTTCACACAGGTAGATGTGACGTCTGTAAAGAAACAATTGAACATGTAATGTATACCTGTAGAAAATATCTAAGACAAAGATTAGAACTGAGAAGGAGAAAAAGAGCAGTTTGGTCTTAAAAACATTTTAAGGAAAAGTACTTATGATGCAATCTATAAGATTATATTTCGTTATTTATTGGGAAAACGATTAGTGAGGAGAATATAATTTTTTTTTTTTTGAGCATGTCAGTCCTGATCCACATTCCTTAATGTTTGGTGGTGTAAATGCACCAAATGGTTGTTTGCCAACCACCATGAAAATTAAGGAGGGGCTGATTGGAAACACTGAATTTATGGGATGCGTCCTCTGAAGGACAGATTTGTAGGCCGATTATGTCATAGTGCGGCGCAGAGGTCTGGTTGGATTCCAAGACTCCCCATTATGCAGCCTACAAATGCTTCCTTCTTTTTGCCCGATTTGAAGGGTGGGTCCGTGTATCCTACAGTATCTATCCTTGGTTATCCCAGGATTCATTGCGAGACCAAGCAAGCCAGATGCTCCGTGATCAGCTGAAAAAGGTACTTGGTGCCAAACAGTGGTGAATATTAGAATTTCAGTTTTATATAATACATGTATGTAAATAGTTCTGTCTGAAATTAATGAAAATTGTTGTTTTAATGGTTATTGAGTCAGATATGTGGCGGGTAATGTTTGATTTATCTAAAGGTTTGTATCTGTAAATGTAAATGGGTTTGGTTATAATTTAAGGACAGATACTGATATATCTGCTGTGTGGGGACTATAAATCTGAAATGATTTTTATTTTTTAAATGAAAAACTATTTTGCACAATTTGTTTAACTAAGTATTTTTTGTTGTTGAATATAACAGATTTTGCTGATACATTTTTTATACATACATTTTGCCTAATGGTAGCTCATACAGGCCCTCCTCTTCCAGGCTCACAAAATCTTGGACCATTGGCTACAGTACTGTAACCAAACCTTTACATCCTCAGCCTTGCCGTGTTGCCAAGAAGATAGAGGTCAGTGATCTGAGCATTACGAGAACATCAACTTCCTTGATGTGCCCACTAGATTGCATAACTAAAAGTCATCAACATAGAGAATGATAGGATNAACATAGAGAATGATAGGATTGTCCCCAGAAAGCTATTTGTTTTATTTATGATGGATACCATCAGAAAATGCCCTGTACTGACTTTCTGCTGCCTTGAGCCTCTCTGTCCTTCAAATTCATATCCTGCAACTCTTTGTGGTTCAAAACCTGAGGCAATGGCTTCAAAAGGGGGACATACTTAAAGCTTCCATTGTCTACTCAACCAAGTGCATATTCAACTGGTTTAACACACTTCTTAGATACATCAGAAGTGTTTCCAGTTTTAAAAACAAAACCTTTTTAAATAAGGCTTGGTAGATCTTTTACATAATTAGCATCTTGACTGTCATTAGTGATAGAAAGTTCACTATCTTGAACATCCTCACCATTGTGTTAATCTGCTTTTAAAAAACTCATACTTTTTAGCAGCTCTTTGACATTTTGAGAGGAGTACAGACCTGACACTTATGTTTTTTAGATATGTAATTTTTGTGTAGATTGCACTGCTGTTGCAATACTGGCAATTAAAAGAGACTTTTTGAAAATCTCTCACCTCTCATTTACAGAGATCTTTATCCATGTGTGCATTAGAAGTTATTCTAGTTGATCAGGTAATTCCCACAGGGACAGTGATGCCAGGGCATGACATCATTGGAGTGAGCCCTTTTTAAGCTTGTCTGTTTTTTAGCTCTTTTTGGCTTTTTTGGCTTTAATCTGAGAAATGTAATGCCAAGAGGAAGTCAAGTGGTAAAAGGACAGACTGAGGACACAAAATTCAACCAGAAACAACAGAAGAATTTAAAGATTTTTTCAAAGAATTCAGCAGAGGCTGCAGACAGGAACCTCTTCTCAGGATCCGTGATTAGGGGAAGGACGAGGTTTATGATCTTCTGCAGATCTCAGATCACTTTTAGATTTAGCTATGATATCACTGCAGGCTTGGATGACTCAGAGCAAGTTATGTTCAAATGAGATGGGTGAAAAAAGTAATACCGGTACTTTGAGCTTCTTGGTCAAAAACCCATGTAGTACTTTATATTGGAACAGGCCAGGTTGAGCTGAAATTGCCGAGGTGTGGAAACAGCAATTCATTTATCAGATCCATTCGTAAGTCCTGCTTCCACCCATGTTAAGTAACGTCAAGAGGGACTTTTGTAAAGAAGGCAATAGGGTGTAAAGAACTGAAAAATGTTCTTTGAATTACATAAATGGGAATTGCCGACTCAGAAACAGCTTTCAAACAAAGTACTAAATCTCTTGGTTTTGGAAAAAAAAATTTGCATGAAATGCCAGAATCTAAGCATAACTTTTGAAATGATTTATAATACTAGCCACAAAAAAAATCCTGAATAGTTTTAACACCCCTATTTAGCCAATCCAAGGGTAAAGCATGTGTTTTGTATGAATATGGAACTAAGGTTTTTTGCAAAGGATTAAGTTGGTCTAGAGGGTTACCTGGAAATACTTCACTTTATATTTATATATTACTTAACACCTTTGCATTTTAGAAAGATTATTATTTACAATTAGGCTTCGTAATTGTCCAATTTTTTGGTGAGGAGTAACAGGCCAAGCTGTAATCCAGACAGCAGCAGATAAACAGAGCTTTCAAGGGTAAGTTTAGCCATCTGATTGAGGAAGTACATTTTTGCCTACTTGTAATCTTGGTTTTCGCTTATGATCCTTATCTCATTAGCATCGGTAAAGGTAAGAATGTAGAATTACCTGCATCATGAGGCAAGGCAAGTTTATTTATATGGCTCAGATTGGAAACAAGACAATTGAAAGTGCTTTAGATAAACAAAATGAACAGAAATGAATGAAGTAAAAAATTATAAGAAAACATGTTTTGACTCTGTTCTTTCACATATATATATGGACAAAATTGATGGGACCCCTAATTTAATTAAATAAAACCCAACAATGATCACAGAAGTAACCTTATTTTGACAAAAGTAGCCTAATTGAAAAAGAAGGCATTGACCTTTTGATTATTTTTTCATTTAAAAGAAGGGGGAAAAAAACTCAATGTTAGGGCATTCATGCATAAGAAATATGAAAACATTGCGAATATGTTTAAAAGTTCTCTTTATTTCAATCAGTTTTCTCATCAATGTGCGAAAGCGATGCGCGTTCCCGCGGCAGGGGATGGAATTGTCGTCAGGCAAGCGCTTCTCGGCACAACAATGTGCGCACCTTTATAAATAGGTCAACTCTCCTGTCGCAGCTTGCAACAATACAGTAACACGGACGGCTTCACATTGTAACAAATAATTTATGATTATTAAGGCCAATCAATGATAAAGATAAGATGATTAGGTTATTTTTGTTTTATATTTTCTGCCAGTTTTTACTAGCGGGTAAGAATAAACTTCGTCTCATAATCTTTGTCATTTTTCCTGCCTCAAGTATGTTTACATGGCGATTATTAATTGGTTAATTAAAAAGTTGATCTATTAGGCTTTTTGTACTTAGTGATTGTCTTATTTTGCATTTCATCTTCAAAGAAAAACACTCAGCCAAGTTTCTCTGGACCGGATCTTCAGGGCTGTCGAACTTCCCAGAGTTAGAAATTACTGTGACGGTTGATGATAATTTAGTCGCGGTTTGTGACAGCGGCAACAAATCCATAAAACTCAACTACGACTGGGTTGATAAATTCCTCCAAGACAACCCTAAGCTGGATGACTGGTTCCGTTTGCGGTGTTATGGAGATCTGCACCGCTTTCAGGACAAAAGATCTGCTTTGAAGAAGTATTTCAAACAAGAAGAAGGTAAATGATCCTGTCTTAAAAAATCTACCTGCATATATAAGAGAATAATGTTAAATTTTATCTGCTCTTATAAAGCACAGATGCTGAATCTTCTTAGGGAATGCAATGGAATGGTTGGATTTAAATTCCTTTATATCAGTAATGATTTTAAACTTTTCTGTTTACATAGGACCAGCTCTACTATATATAAAAAAATAAATACAGAAATAAATAAATGCCCAATAGATAAATAAGCACACAATAAATTTCCCCCCAAAATTACAATAAACAAATAAATGTAGGTAGAAATGAAATTATACATTGAGACATAAATGTATATATCTCTTTTAATTTGCTTTGTATTAATAACCTTATTTATTTATTGTCCGTTATAATCTTCAACGCTATTTATTTCTGCCTGTGGTTTGTACATTTCTGTATGCATTTCTGCCTCATTAGCAAAAAGAGGCAGAAATGCATACATTATGAAATAATTTTAAGCAACACAATTCAATCAACCCAAAAGGCCTGTTTTTTCACAGTTTCTATTATTGCGGGCCTTATTTTTGCTATTTATCATTCTTTCAATACAGAAAAATTATTTCTTCTTTTCCAAATTAACAATTGCTAAATATTCAAATACTCTCATTGTGAAATTATAGCTATAAATCTATAGAAATCTTACTCTCATAACTTTTTCCTTTTCCTTACAGTATTTCTTTGGTTGTCTTTTATTCTACAATCAGATATCCATGTTAGATTCTCACCTGTATCTGATTTTCCATTCAGCTCTGGGTTCACTTTTTCCCTTCAGCTACCTGCCTTTACATTCAACTATCATTCAGACCTGCTTCCTGCCTTTCATTTTTATTGAAAGTCTCTGGTCATTCTATTTCTATTACTGTTTCCTTCTGTTTGCCTCTTCTGTCCATGCTGTGCTGTAATATTTTGCACCTTCTTTGTGAATTTCAGCTACTGATTCATGTGACCTCTTTGCTTCAATTTGTTTGCAAATGGATCATACTTCTCCTACCTATAGGTGTCATGTTCTGTCTCAGAGACAAGACTTGTTTAAGCAGGTGGGGGTTCATCTAAGGCTTTGTTCACATGACCGTCTCAAACTGTGTCCCTCAAAATAAATTTTACCATGTTAGTCAGGAAGCATTTATTCAGCATTTATTATTATTGTTAGCTTTTCTGTTCAAATGCAAAACACACAGTCTTTTTTCATTTTTAGATGATAAAAAAGCAAATGCAAAGCAAGTAAATCTATGTTGTTCTTGCAAATATTGTTAATGTTAACTGCACGAAAAGAGCTTTTCATCTGTTCTGATTTCTTTCTCAGGTGTCCATATTTTACAGCTGATCTCTTCCTGTGAGATTGATGAGGAGACTGAGAATGTTAATGCTGCTTTAGAGTATGGTTATGATAAAGAAGATTTAATTGCTCTGGATTTTAATACTCTGACATGGATTGCTCTAAAACCAGAAGCCATACCATTTAAAAGAGTGTGGGACACTGAAAAAGAGAGAAATTTGTTCGATCAGAAAATTCTCATGCAGATGTGCCCTGAATGGCTAAAGACAATACTGAACACAGGGAAGAACTTTCTACTGAGAACAGGTAAATGAGACGAGCAATCCAATTCTAGTGATATTATATATACAGTATATATAAAAAAAAAAAAAAAAAATATTGGGTTTATGTAACATTTAATTTTTAGCTAATTATTAACAAATATAAAAAAAGAAAAGTTTTATTAATGCTATTGTTTATTAATACTTAATAAATGTGAAAAAAAAAATCATTTCAAAACGATAAAATTTACATTTGAGCTTTTTTCCTACACCCCAAATTAAGCAATATTAAACCTTACCAGCCTATGAATGTGGTGATGGGATGTTTTTAACTTGGGAAATAGGCTCTTAGCCGATTATTTCTAACTTAAATCTCAGAAATGTCTGCATTAAACTACAACTCAAACACAACATTAGTGGTAGTCTGACTCTGGTTGCATAGTTTAAAAAACTTCAGACCAGATATTTATATACATCAGAGGTCACTTTATTAGATACACCAGTCCAACTCTTTGTTAATTGCAATATTTTATTCAGCAAATCACATGCAAGTAGGCATGTAGACATGGTCAAGACAATCTCCTGCAGTTCAAACCGAGCATCAGGATTGGGGAAAGAGTGATTTAAGTGGCGCTGAGTGTGGCTTGGCTGTTGGTGCCAGATGGGCTGGTCAGAGTATTTTAGAAACTGCTGAGCTACTGAGATTTTCATGAACAAACATCTCCAGGGTTTACAGAGAGTGGTCTGAAAAAGACAAAATAAGGAATCAGAAGGGCTCAGAAAAATTAAACCGTAATCTGATATAATTAAAAAAAAAGTCTATGCATACCTCTACCTGTAGATTTGATTTATGATAAACTATCCGAGGATTTCTCTATCTGATGCTGTCATGGGTTGAATAGGAGTGAGCCCTAATCTTCATCAACTTAAAACAGGAAAACAGTTCTATTTAAAGCTAAACATAAAAAGTTTTTTTTTTCTTTTACAGAATGGTTACTTTATTTTAATTGGATTTGATTTCTACAACTAGATGTATTATTGTCCTGTTTTTTTTACCATCATATCTATCCTTGTTCCCAATCATTAAATGAATCCTTATCTGACTGATCTGTGTTTTGTATGCCAACTTTTAATGATGTTTTCCTTTTATTTTCTTTTTCGTTCCTTTCCCAGAGCATCCGTCCTTGTCTCTGCTGCAGAAGACTCCTTCTAGTCCAGTCAGCTGCCACGCTACAGGTTTCTATCCTAAAAGCGCCCTGATGTTCTGGAAGAAAGATGGGGAGGAAATTCACGAGCATGTGGAACATGGAGAGATCCTTCCGAACAATGATGGGACCTTCCAGATGACGGTTTACCTGAACATCTCCTCAATCAGTCTTGATGACTGGAAGAGATATGTCTGCGTATTTAAGTTCCTTGACAAAGAGGAAGAAAACATCCAACTGGATGAAGCAGAGATAAAAACCAATAGAGGTAAAGAAGCAAAATGTGTTCCTGTTGCTTCTTGTGTGTTTGGTCTATCCAGTAGTTTAGGATAACAAGGATAACAAAACTTTTTATTTATTATACACTTTCTATTTGGTATCAAACCTCAAAGTGCTACAGTGGGAATATATAAAAGTAACAACATAAAGAGAAACGTAAAAACAACAACTAGGACGAGTACAGCTTTCTAAAAAGGTTACTTTCAAGTTCCATTTAAAAAAAAATCCACTATCTTCAGGGCTCTGAGATGGTCCAGAAGGGTGATGGAGGTGGTAAGCTCATGTTTTTATTTTTTGTACCCTTATCAGGATCCTGCCAGGGCTATGCACAATATATTTAGCTTTTGGAAGCTCGTGGCAGGGAGTGCAATACAGTAGTGCAACCTTATGGAGAAAAAGGCATGGGCAACTTCTCTGCAGCAGGGAGGGAGGGAAATAGTTTGGAAATATTGCAGAAGCAAAAGATGTATGTCTTGCAAATGGAGGTGGCATGGATATCAAAAGAGCTGAGGGGTCAAACCCCCAGGTTAGTAACAGAAGGAAAGAAAGAAAGAAAGAAAGAATGTGGCTGGAAATGGAACAGAGGCTTTAGGGGAAGTGTAGCTTGTTAGTTGTTCTGGTTTGAATGGCCGCTGTACTTTAGTCATAAAACTGTGGGAAGTTTTTTCATACATGATTTAAACTTCTCTAGGCAGGAGCTGAGACGGTTCAGGTGCGCAAGAGTGGGAACTGCGGGGAGTGATCTGGGGGTATAGTTAAGTGTCATCATGAGAAGGGTTATGCCCTGGTCCAAAGTTCGCCCCTTATTATGTGTGAGTCCATTTATGATCTGTTGAAGAATTAGACACCGCTATCCATGTTTAAAATCAGCAGCAAATTGGCAGGTATGATAGTCCATATGTTTTTGAAGTTGCTGATAACCAGATACCAGATAAAATATGTTGTTCAAGGAGATGAGAAAGCTATTAATGTTGGAAATACAAATTCAATTCAATTCAGTTATTTATATAGCGCCAATTCACAACACATGTCATCTCAAAGCACTTTACAGTTCACCAGATCATACAGTCAAATTGATTCAAAGTTTTGTATCTAAGGAAAACCAGTTGATTGCATCGACTCATTGAGTCGAAGTCAATTCCTCACACTAAGCATGCTTGTAGCGACAGTGGAGAGGAAAAACTTCCTTATAAAAGGAAGAAACCTCCAGCAGAACCAGGCTTAGTGTGAGCGGCCATCTGCTGAGGGCGACTGTGGTTCAAGGAGACAGAAGCAGAGATATCAAAACTGTTGTTTGTCTTAGGTGAGTGATAGATGGGGCAACTGGGGATGAAGAAGGTTGTTTGCAGTTAAAAACCAGGCTTTAGAAGGACCTGGTAAGGAGAACAGAAATGACTGAAAGCTCAATGTTGCTGAGGTGAAGAGCAGCAATCCCACTAACAGTAGTACGGGCATTGTGCAGGTGGCATTATCCAGGAGGGTAAGCCTTATTCATATGTGGGTGGACCCCATGTTGCTCCCATGTTTCTATAAAATAGTATCTATCAATCCCCTTGTCTAGAATGCGGTCATATATGGGATCGGAATGTTTAAACAGTGACTGCATATTGAACAGCGCCTGAGTGGTGTGAGTCTTAAGATACATTCTCACCAAACAAGAATTTCCCGGCTGAAGTAAAGGATTGCCATTTTATCCCTGCATAGAGGAAGCATCTGGAGCGAAACAAAGCAGAGCAAGGCGATGATGGCGAATTTAGGATGGTAATTGACAAGATTTTGGCTAAGTTTGCGACATTGGATCCCTGTGCCTACAAATTTCCTTCAGATTCTTACAGATTTTCGCCACTAGATGTGGCTGAAAACTACAGTGAAGAAGCGCAGCAGAGACAAACTTGTCTTATTAAAAATCTAAAATACAGTATGAATGCTCTTAAGAGCTTTTAAAGTGGCTTTTAGCCTCAGAAGTACTTTAGCCTTAGAAAGTTTCATCGTATTTGTCAGGACTCAGAACAGAGGACCCATAATTCAAGGCAAACAAACCGGGGGATTTGTCAGAAGCGTTTATTAAAAAACGTCTAATCTGCAGTTCAGCCGCTAGGGCGTCTAAGGCAGAAACGTCTGCAAACAGAAAACTCAGGTTAGCAACCCTGGAGAAGCAGACTTTTGGAGAAGCTGATTTTTTATTTTTTTTTTAGGAAGTTTCTGGAAAAGAGGATTAAGTATCTGATACAGGCTACCTTCTGCAACACAAAATACCTTCCTAATCAGAATTTGGCAGCTCAAGAAAAAAGGTCCCAGCAAAAAACTCACCTATAAGATTTGTAAAACTTTTGGAGCTGGAGATTGGACTTCATGGTGGGTTCAGTGAAAATAAATCTGATGTGGATTTCAAAAAGTCCTATAATAATTTACAACTAATACACAACTTTAGTTGTAGCACACACGGTACAATGTGGAATATAAGTCATAGTTTATACCAACATTATTAATTCTGACATTATGTGGAGACAGTGGGGCAGATTTGAGTCATATATGCCTTTTCATCCCTCCATTTTCTCCCTCTTAGTCCTTTGCCAGGGTCGCGTTGGTTACACCCTGAGGGTTACACCCTGGACAGGGTGTCAGTCTGTCACGGGGCAGTGCAGAGACACACAACCATGCACAGACTCACACCTAAGGAGAATTTAGAGCAGCCAATTAATAATAATAATAATAATAAATCCAATTTGTACCGCACTTTTCATTAAGAAAAATCTCAAAGTGCTACACAGTGCAAATAAAATAATTAACCAAACAATTAACCAAACAGTCATGTTTTTGGACTGTGGGAGGAAGCCGGAGTACCCGGAAAGAACCCACGCTGCACAGGGAAAACATGCAAACTCCATGCAGAAATACCCCAGGCCAGGAACTGAACCCTGAACCTTCCTGCAAGGCAACAGAGCTACCTAATGATCAGTGTGCTGCCAACATTTTCATAAACAGAAAATTACATATTACAGCTTACCTAAAAACTGTAAAAAATAATATAGGCCGGTATATGGTTAATGGTGTCATGATCGGTTTAACAAATCTGACCCACATGCAGAGAAACCACTCAGAGAACACGGAGAAAAGTTCAACAGTTTTATTTGTTGTAATGAAAACGGGTTGGATCTGGAACTCAGTGAACTGGTGAACTGGAACTGGAAAGTCAGAAGGGAAGATCACAGAGATCAGTTCAAGGACCGTGGGAATTGAGACTGCGGCTTGAATTTCGCAAGAGAGGGACTCACGTTTGAGGGGGCTCTTGTCAATCCTTGAATCCAGTCTGTGTGGGGTTATCCAGAGAGGTGAGAACTCGTTGGAGAGCGGACATTTAGACGTACGTTGGACCTGGAGGAGTAATGGAGTGGACTGTCACTTGGTTTTCCGAAGGGAACTTGAACGGACCATGTGGAGGTTTTCCCCTGCTCAGTGTAAACTTAGTTATGCCTTCCAGGAGGAGAAGGACCAGGTGTCCAGTTACTTCCTGTTTCCTGCCGAAGAGCAAAGATAAAAAAAAACTCATTAGACTCAGAGAAACAATGGAAGGGTAGACTCAGCTAATCTCAGCTTGGCTAGAGTACCCAAAACTGGCAAACATTCTGGCGTTGAGGTAGTGACAGCCCACTGCACAAATACTCCTCCAGTAATGATCCAACGAGCCGCAGGTGTGCAGGGAGCCCCAATGAGGACAGGGCACCACCTGGTGGTGGAGAGAAGGAAACGACACAAACAGACCACACAAACTGGATTCCTAACAAATGGCTTGTATTTCTCTAGGGTCTTTGTTAAGTAAGGGGACTTCATAGAGCTACTAAACTACAATCTTTCATTCCTACATATGCAACATGGGGGAAGTGTTTTTCCCAAGGGCACAGTGACTGAGACGTGCAGAGCTAGGCCTCAAATCTGCGACACTTTAATATCTAACATTTGTTTTTAAAGAATTTTTACATAAGATCCATAATTCATATCTGATGCTGTCTACAATTTTATTACAGGTAGAAATAAAAAGAACTACAGCAGAGAGATGTAACTGCACCATTGTGACTTTTTGTGTTTCTATTTGTTCTTTAAGCTTTGTTCACAGAGAGGCAGAGTAACAAAACTGCTCCCATCATAGCTGTAGCAATTTCTTTTGTTCTTGTTTCCATTGGTGCTGCTGGATATGTGGTCTATAAAAAGAAAATAGGTAAGCGATCATGATTTTTTATGTGTGACAATATATTTTGCTGAAATGTATCTACTGTAGATAGAACTATATTACAAATAAGAACTTCACTTCAGCTTCTTTATAGGTTTACCTCCATTTACATTTCTGAACTGTTTCAGAAGTGTTATAAATTTTATTGATTGTACTCTTTGTGACTTTTCAGTTCCAGAGGGGAGATTGGAGCTTCTTGAGCCACTGAACTCAGAGGCCTGATCAACAAACTGTTGCCCGATGTGGGGATTTTTTATGACTTCTGTCTGAAATAAAATAAACAGTTATACTTTCTTTCTGTACAAGTGCTTCAGAGATTAGGCTCTTTTACAGACCTAAGTTAAACAAAGTTTTATCTTTGTTAAAACCTGTTTTGTTTTTTTAACCACATATCAGATTAAAGCTAAAACTTGTTAAACCTGGTTTGATCTAATCCCAGTTTCAGTTCAGAGCAGGTCAAATTAGTCACATGGTGAAACTTCATGAAGGAAAAAAATGACTTTCTAAAAACAAACAGACCTTAGATTTGAGGCTGAAGAAGGAAACAAAGAAAACATGCTTTGTCTTTAAGAAATTCCTACATTCATAATGAAGTAGAATCTGTGGTCAGATGCTGGCAGCCTCCCAGAAGCAGTTTTAGTTACTTTTTTCAGTCACTTCCTGGCAAGCAAGTGATTTTTTGGCTGCAGGCATTTCGGCCAGTTAGGTTGTACTGGAGATATTTTTGGTTTCCAAGCACAGGAAACAAAAACATTGATAAAACATTTTGGTAATGAAAACATGTAAATAAAAAAAAATCTAACTTTTGCTGTAAGTTTTTGTTCTTGTTTTTTTTAAATGCCTAAAATAGGCAAGATAAACTTATTGACCTTTTATCTGTTATAATGCTATTTCATCATCAAAATCCTGCAAGAACTGGTATTTCACCTGTTTCATGCTTGTCACAGTAACCCTCAAAAATTCTGCCCCTCGCTGTCCAGGAAAAGGAGTGACCACATCCTTCCACTAAAACCAGGTCAAACTAAAACTTTCCCACTTGAGTTCTGGATAGAGAATA